TACGTGCATAGAAGCTCCCCAAGGCTGTGACGCATCCACTGCCAGAGCGTACGCACTTCGAACGCGGACGTTATGATGGTCATGGATGCTCTCGCCTTCGTGTGCTCTTGGAACACGAACGGAATTATGGTTTGGGCATGGATGCTCTGGTTTTCGTAGGCTGTTGGAACACGAGCGGAATCGGCGGTCATGCGGTGCCTCGCCGATCTACTTGCCCATGACCAGCCCTTGCAGCTCGACCCTCTGGCGGTGCACGGGCGCACCTGCCGTTGGCGCCGGGCGGGCTTGGTCTCAGGTCGGCAACCGCTGGGAGGTGGGCGGCATACTGGGCGCTTTGGGCTGACACTCTTCCTGCGATGCACGGGCGCCGCCACACAGGTTGTGGCGGATGTTGGCCATCAGGATGACAACATCTCGGTACAGCTCGCTTGCATTGCAGCACTTACTCGGGCGTCACCTGTCCTGCGAGAGCAGGGCTTCGCCCCGCCGCCGTGGGCAGAAGTCGCCCGTGGCGGGCGGGCCGCCCCCCGCTCCGGGGATGGCAGCGTTCCGCTACGGCCAGCTTGGACAAGACGGCCCCTGGGAGCTTCTTACGTGACCTCGATCCGGCATCTCGCGCCCTCCTGTTGTCGCAAGCCGGCCCTGGCGGGCCGCGAGCTGTTGTTGCCGTACCAACCGCACCGGAGTTCCGCCTCTCCAGCGATTGCATGCGTGTTGCTGCTTTTCATGCCAATACCAAGTGAGACGCTATCCTCAGAAACACACGATAAACGAAAGGAGATTTTGATGGGTCTCTATCTTGAGCGAAGATTTCCCAGGTGAAATGATGCTGCGCCATGCTTCCAACCATATGCTATACCCTCGCACAGAACCCCCACAGCGCCGAAACACAATCTTCCTCACTTTGCCGCTGCGGCTTCCACGAAGGCTCCTGCCTGGTACTCTTTTCGGCTACTTACATTGTACTTTAGGGTTCGTTCAGGGTTGAAGGTAGATGCTAAGGGGTAGATACCCTGACATGAAACCTGTGTACACGCGCAAGCCACCACCTTTGCTAAAGATATCATCAATAGCAAAGACAGAATGCAAGGGAACTTCGGGCGGGTAATTTTGTAGAGTACTGCCATACCGTTTCGACAGCCAATCTCTACCATAGCGTCCACTGACTGGTCACAAAGTTCCAACACGGCACAGAGCCAAAATTCTATTCTACAGCCTCCCTTCTTGAATAGAACATGGAATCCCCAAACGCACCTTCCCACCAAGCAAGTTAAAGCTCCCAAGTCTCTGATGGCTTCTGAGCAGCAGGGCTTGCTTACAAGATCTTACAAGTCTGAGAAGACCGAGTAAGCAGAGGCTTCTCAGAAGCTGTCGCAGGATGTTACGGAAGAGACCTAGGTCTTCTGCGTGTCCCGATAGGTAGGGCTGGGTCCTTGCTTGGAGGGGCGCGACGTCATTGTCAGAGTTATGTTGTCAGTTCATGACCGTAAACGGCGGGTGGTGTACCCGGAGCTGGTCGCTGCGCAGCGGTGCAAGCTTGTCGTGTTAGGCTTTGAGGTTGGCGGCCGCATCGACGCTGATGCAGTCGGGTTCATCCGACGCTTGGCGGCTTCGAAGGCACGTGGCACGCCCACCCGCTTGAGGAAGGCAGCGCTACAGGCCAGCGTCGGAAGATGGACAGGGATGCTGGCGGTGGCGGCCCAGTGCGCCTACGCGCTTTCTCTGTTGGAGCGGCAGACGAATGCGACGGCACGGAACCGCCCTTGGCGGAGGTGCTGGCGGATGCCCGGGCTGCGGAGCCTGTGGCGCCCAGCCGCCTACTTGCGCCGTGGCGGGCGCGCTGACGGCCGGCCAGCGGTAGGAAGGAGCCGACCCGAAGAGATCATGTCGTGCAGGCATAAAAGTCCGAGAAAAAAATACGGAATTCTGGTTTGGGCATGGATGCTCTCGTCTTCGTATGCTTTTTGAACACGAACGGAATTATGGTTCGGGCATGGATGTTCTGTCAATCGAAGATAGTCGAAGACAAGTAGAACACGGAGTTTTTATGGCTTGGGCATGGATGCTAGGGATATCCCATGCGGGCAAGATGCACAGAAGCTTCACGAAGACCAGTCGAGTCTTCAGTCTGAGTGGTCAGGTCGAGTGCGGTGTCCTCAGGCTGAGTGGCCGGATCGACTGTGGTGCGGGCACCACATTGGCGCAAGCGCGTGCCCCACATGGCAAACTACAGAGACTCGCAGGGAACCCCAACGTCTGCCTTGCAAAACAAAATAAACACTTCACCTTTCACCTGCTCGACACTTGACTACTACTACTACTACTGCTACTACTACTACTACTACTACTACTACCACTACAATTACTATTACCAGTACTATTACTAGTACTAGCACTATTGCCACTATACTACTACCACTGCTACCACTATTCCCGCTGCTACCCGTATTTCCTCCAGTTTATACGCCAAAGATTATAAAGTCTACTATTATGTATATAGTATTAACATGTACTAGCAATTTTATCATTTTTCTTTCCATTACCTTCAACTTATCATTATCATTCGTGTGTTTGCGAGTCTGGGGCCATTATGGGCTCACATTTTGGGCATGTCGTCAAGTCTACTGCCAAGGAGCACGCGCATTCTGTTTATAAAACGCATCTGATTGTGAATGTCGTTTGCAACTGCTTCACGTGTTGCAGACGTAAACGGGAACTATTAAATCCCGCGCTCCCGTTCCTTTCATTTTTTCCGTATATGTTCGGTACAACGAGATTCCCTAGGAACAGCTTTCATAAAAGGATTCCCAAATTAAGTCAGGGGAAGCCAAATTTTTGTTCCTACGAAGGGAATCGGTTTCTTTCCTCACCACCACGAAGATGCAAGAGACATATAATCTTGCACAGACTTTCGTGAAGAGACCCTTTAAATAATGTGTTTTGATTTTGGGGTCCTAAAAATATAAGACAGGCCTCTAGGGTCCCGTTCTTCAGAGCCACTTGATACTGTGGCGGGGGGGGCCAAGTGTAAACGCTGTCCAACATTAATTGACCTCTGAGAAATGGAGGCTCAAGTTCCTTGCTTGCAGGTTTTCTTTTGATCCCAAAGAAATTCAACAATTCCGTATAGTCAACAAAAAAAAGGCCCGCGAAATATTCATTTCAGAGGCGAGACTGCCATTTTTGCACAAAACGCACGGCAATAATCCATACGGTGGGGTGTGTAGGTTAAATCGATTTTTGTGAATTTCCAATGCGTATGCTACGGCGTCGATCTTTGCAGCAATCGCCGCACCCTTGCCGCATCAAACAACAAACATTCAAGACGGGCTTGTTTTAAAACAGCGTTGCAAGATGGAATTTCTGAGATGCGTTATTGCTATAGTTACATGTTCCATGTGCAAGACACAGAGCCCTGCAAACCCCCGGCCGCAATGGCGGTGGTGATGCCGCAAGTTGTGCCAGCAGCTGGGCCTCATAGCGCACGTTCGTTGTCTTTGCGTGGGGCAGACATGTTCCCGGACGCTTCTGCTGAAGCCTTTATCTTCACAACGTTTTGAGCTATTTGGCAAACAGTCCAAGACTTACAGCTGGTAAATTCAGATGTTGGCGAAATGTTCGTTTGTAGATAAATGATGGTACCACTTCTGTGCCGACAAGCCGCGACTGCTACATGACAGGGTAATCGAGAAGCCCTGGAACTCTGACACTGCGTGTATCTTAGAGGTTTTTTTGCATGACGCAGCACCTTCAAATGGGAAAGTATGGTTTGTAAGTCCGGGATTGAGAAGAAGGGTTTGGCGGAGTCCAGATGCAAAAGCAGATTGTGATGCGCTCAGATGCAAAATGCCTGGTGGTATACATTTTCAGGCCGATGACAAACGGAGGGTTTGACTGCACAACCTGAGTCTCGGCCGGCTTTGATCGGACATGTGGGATTAGAGAAGGTTGCATCATAGCTCGAAGGACCTGAGCAGTTTTTGTTGTTTTCGTCTTTTGTGGTTTCCCCATGCAGAACCCCAACTGATTGGCCAGGCATGTATGCCCATCTCAGGAGCGACGATGAGAGATATAAGAGGTTACCTCGATCAAGCCAGTGTTTGGCACCCGGCTTCTGATCCACAAGCTCTCAAACAAACATTTTTTCTTATTCTTGGAGCCCGATCGGATAATACAAACGTAAAACAAGCCTACATCGCATTTTGCCGATAGGGCTTTAGACATATTAAGCCACAAGTCTCAAACAGCAATTCAGTTCTGGCTGGCAATGGTTCCGATGGTCAATATTCTGCTTGTGCCCTTCTATGTGCTCCCTGAGCCTCGGGGCATCCGAAGCCTTTTGCAAACAGCGATGATCGCCACTCACTGCGGGAACTCAATACGTTTTGGATTACCGTGCATAAGTTCCTGTTATGAATTCCGTTCTAGGTTTCAAGGAGAACGCAGACATGTAGGGTAGCTGCTTTTCCTGTTGCAGCATTGTGGCAGCCCGTGAGGTGAATTCCATTGCTTTGTCAAGGATCGCCCGGCAGTGCTTGGGAACAGTTCACTATGGAATTGCTATCGAAACCATTCAAAACCGGCAAAAACTGCCGAAAAGGCCCTAGCCCTGAACAGTTGAACTCTGCAAAGCCAGGATCCACTTCAACATCGATATGAGCGGTGCTGCGCCGGAAGATAGAGCAGAGTTTTTGAGACTCCTTGGCGACTATGCCAGGACAGGGCTGGTGCACTCAGGATTTCATGTCTACTGTTCAGGCACGCTAGCCAGGGATTTGCAGCAGAAGGAGTCTGTTGGAGGCACATGTTTTTCATGTCCATGTTCTCCCGAAGAGGGGCTTCCTCTTGGCAAGCTCGCATTGCGCGAGGATTGCGCGAGGATTGCGATCTCGGCCTTCTTCACAAACATCTTTCTGTTGGCAGTGCTCATCATCGCGAACCCTGCCAGAAACAGATTTAGAAGAACCATCGTTTGGAAGCTCATCCGCTGGGGGGTCGTTATGCTACTGGGAATCATCGAGGCGTACCTCATCAAGCTTTTCGAGATGTACACCTACTGGGGAAAGATTGTATATGCTGAAGAGAGCTTGGCATTCTTCGAAGCTCCCCTAGGACGGGGGCTCCAAAAGTTGCAGTAGGCAGCTTGAGGCTTTGGTAGGTAGGAGTCTCAACCATTAGCGCATTGATGGCCGCAGCGGTGC